TGCTGCAGTGGTCTCGGGCCTCTCTCAGTCCCGAGGTCCGCCGCAGCCCGCTGGTTCTTTACCTGGAGGCCGGCAGCGCGGAGCGAGGCAGTGATCTCAGAAGCCAAATCTCTGTTGGTGGCATTGACAGCTTACTTATCTGGAAGCACCTGGCCGTCATTCTAGATCAGCCCAGCAAGCTCCCAGGCAGACTCGGTCAGGAACTCTATGACTTTCTTCCCAGGCCCCTCAACGCGGAAATCAATATCATTAGCCAAGGACTTGGCCACGAGCTCCCTGGGAAGGAAAGGGCTGTGGATAGCGTCGGGTATAGGGTGCAGGAAAGCAGTAGTCCTGTCTTCTGCATTGTGGAATCCTGCCGTTACCATCCTGCCGTGACCGCTAGAGTTGGCAGGATAGGTTCGTTCGCTGACCGAGCACCTGTTTCGCAAAATCCTGGGCCTCAAGTGCGTCTGCGCAGAGAGGAGGATCACGGTAGGGGAGTAGTCGAGGTCGAGTCAATGATCGAGGAGGAGGCCTAAGCAGAGTGAGACATGACATTCTTTGACGTCGAAAAACGAGTTGCCATGAGAGATACTGAGGGCGGGCTTAAGCGCATTACTTGCTCGAATCGCCGCCTCGTCCCCCAAACCCCAACCAATCCCTCGAATCATCATTCCTCTGGAGGCCCCAGAGACTTGTGATCCAGCTGAGCAGGGCGATGGCCCTCTGGCCTCCTGAGCCCAATTGCGTGAGTGCAATTCTAGCTGGCAGCAGCTGCCGTGGCCATGCGAGCTCACGCTCAACTTCTTCTAACAACCCTAGCAACTCAGACTGTCCCTAGGATCCTGAATACCGGATGTCCCTCGGTCCCAGGTTCTCGATCCTACGTCCCGTCTGGACTGGGATCTGCCTCAGCCCGCCTGGAGCTTCTCCAGGGTGAGCGGGGGCAGGGATAGTTCTTTAGCGAACAGACGGCCCCCAATAAACGCAGCGCTGACTCTGGGTCTGATTAACGTGCAAGCCAGCGCGACCTGCGGTGGTCCATGACCTCCCTAAGGGGAACCCTCGATGGCACCCTCAACTGAAACTTCAGACTCACTCTTCTGGGGCGGCTTGTGAGTGAGTGACTCCGCCGCTCAGGTCTTGAAACTAGCGTAAGACTCTCGCTGCAGATTGCTTGGCACGCGCAGCGTGGAAATGGGCGGTCTCCGAACGAGTCTTTCATTCAATGGGTTTGAGTCTCTTGGGGTCCCGAGGAGGAGGCGAAGGGGGAGGAGGAGGGGGGCGGCGAAGGAGGAGGAAGAGGAGGAGGAGGAGGATGTTGAGGTGGAGAAGGAGGAAGGATAGTCAGAAGTTTGGACGGGCACGGATTAGGTGGAGTGCTCAAGTCAAAGAAAATTAACACCTGGGGGTATGCTTGGGTGGGTATCGCGCGCGATCAAGGGCTTGGGTTCGGCTCAGTCAATAAGTGCAATGTCGTCCACCGAAGCTGAGTGCTATGACGTGGTTCGAGGCCTCAGTTGCGTTAGGGCGGCAGTCGGTACTTGGAGTTCTGGGATGGGATGAACCTTGCCTTTGAGGGCGATGCGGGCCAGCGCGCGTCAAAGGATAGGCATGAGTTGGCCCCTGCGCGATGGCTTGCGAACTCCGCAACCAGTCGCCGTTCGCGACCAGGATCATTATTGATGGATATCACCATCCATGGGCGCGAGTGGGCATGAGAATTTCCGGGGCATTTGCTCGTGACTTGGTTGCCGCGTCTGCGGCGACGCGCGACGTGCGCAGGAAGAGTTGGCAGGGCTGCTCATTGGCAGCTGTCAGCTAGAAGCGAGGCCCTTCGCAAAGGGGGGTCCAGCGCGGATCCGAGACATCCGCGCGGACCTCAGAGTTTCTGCGTTTATGTCATTCTTCGCTCACCTGATCAAGGCTCCCAGGTCAATCGTCATTTGCCGAAGGTGAACGCGCAGAAAGGTGAGGCTGCGGCGACATTGGACGAGTCGGACCGTCGCAGCGGCTTGCGCGCGCCACGGGCCTGCCCTATCGGCCAGCGGGCGCGTGCGCGACGAGGCCATCGACGAGGCGGTCGGGGATCAGACGTCGGAGTGTGACGTGTTGTGATGTGGTTGGGGCGGGGCAGCGCGAGCGGAGCAGCAAGCTCGGCACCTGCGCTCGTCGCGCCCTCCGAGAAGTCGTCGAGGCCGAAGACGAGCGCGAGCAGGATCGAACCATCTCCAAAACACCAGGGGTGCTGATCATGCCCTGGTCGAAGGGTTCAACGCATAGTCGACCTCCAGTTCCTTCTGAAGGAATGTTTCATATGAGGTACCTCACGAGGCCAGCAAGAGCGATGCCCTGTCAAGTCTAGGGGCCGAGGCGCGGGCACACGGAGCAGTTTTTGTGGGCGGCGCTGGCAAAGAAGGCGCCGCTGAAGTTGCCCCCCCCCCCCCCACACTTCGTCCTGTGTGTGTGTGTGTGTGTGTGTGTGTGTGTGTGCGTCTCTCTCTCTCTCTCTTTCTCTCTCTCTCTCTCTTGTTCACCTGTGCCTTGCGTCACACCATCCATTTTCACCCATAGCGGCGCCCCAGCGCCCCCTTGCTATGCCCCCGCGGCATCTCGACTGCAGGCCGAATGTCCGAATGTCCGAACGTCCCCCCCCCCCACACCCATCTGAAAGTTGCGGGTGCTATCCGAGGTGCGCCAGGCCCACCTCCCGCAGTTGAGCCGCATTTTTGCAGGCGTCTCTGGCCAGGACAAGCGCGCGGCGGGCAGCGCAGTCGTCGACGACGGTGGACGCGGGGAGCGGGGCTGCTGCGTGGATGTCTGCGTGCTTGGTTACGGACAGGACAGTCGTGTCCTCTTTCTGCTTCGGGGGTGGATAGACCTCCTACCCTGACACGTCGATTAGCGAATTGGCCGTTTTCGGTTCGCGAGAGGGCGTCGCGGCCGTTATTTTGGCGGGTCCAGGTCCGTCGGTTCGGTCCTGGGCCGTTTTGTCTACCGCCGACTGCTCCCCGAGGCTCCGCTCAACTGGTCGCAGGCTATGGGCGCCCAGCTTCGAGGCGACGCCGACGCACGCGCGTGGCGCGCCAATGCGGAGAGTTGCAGTGATTGGCACGCAGGTAAGGTTCGTGAGCCACTTAGCCAGGATGGCAAGGTCATCGGCAGCAGCTGTTGCGAGTTCTACGATTCGTTGAAAGAGTTATTGCTCGGCGATGCGTGCAGTCGTTTCGTGATCGAGCAGTTCAGCGGCCCAGATACCTGGTACCATCGCGTGAGTGAAGAGAACGCTAGCCGACGCATTAGGCATGGGTGACATAAGTGCGGTACATCAAGCACATAGTGAAGGGCTGGTAGAAAGCGCCGCTACGTCCTGCGCAAGTTTTACAAGAGAGGCCCGCTCCGTGCGATCCAGGAGCAGGAGTTATTGCCGCTCGTTGGGACCAGGGCCAGTATGCTTTTGGTGGGCAGCCCGTTCATCATCTTCATAATTGTGTTGTGTTTGGATAGCAACACCTAGTACGGAGTGATCAGCGCTGGGTGACCGTCAAATTTGTGACTCCTGAAATTTCTCGTGAATTCATTATGTGCTCCCATGGCCTTGAAGTGTTCAACGGGTCATTACTCATGTTACATATTGATCGTTCCCAACAGCGCATTGCAGTTCCATTCCAGATAGCGTGCACGGAGCAGCGTTAGCTGTGGAACTTGAACACGCAGAGAGGTGCAGTTCGTTCCCCAGTGACCGCAGGTATTTAGTTGGCGCCTGGCTCCGTGGCGTCAATATGCAATATCAGAAGCTGTCGCAGGCATGTGTTCCAGGTTACGTCTGCATTTTTTCTGCAGTAACAACTAGCGCCGTTGTGTAACCTTAAGTCGGGTCCCGAAGGGAACGCGTCATTTCAGTCACTCAAGCCAGCCAGCTTGTAAAACCCATCACTGCGTTACCTGATCGCACGCATTGGACGGCATGCGGGCGCATCGACAACGTGTTCCAGCATTCGGTCAGCGTCAAAAAGCCGAAGCTAACTGCCGTCATGGCATGCTGGGCACGGGCCCTGCAATGGGTCAGCGTGAACACTGGCCCTCGGCGCGATCGCAACTGGCCGCGCTCTGTCCGCCGCGAAGAAATGACGTGAGACAGTGCAAGATACAGACCCAGCGTCGACAGGTCAGGGATGTGTCTACACGCATGTCGGTTGAGACTGCCAGTGTCCTTCAAACGGCTCGGACACTATGGCTTCTCAGACAGTGCATCTCTTCACCCCATGAGGAGACGTGCCACCACGACACTTTGCTTTCATTATGCTGTATGGTTGCAGTTGGCCACATGCGCATATGAGAATTTTGACCGCTACCAGGTTTCGTGTGACTCAGGCTGCTAGCGAGACTTCTTTACATTGTTTAAGTTCGATATGTCCGCGTTACTTGGCTTTAGTGTGATGGTCAAGCGTTTTCCTACCCAGTCTGATGCCGATTCCCCGTCACTTGTACGATCCACGTGGGTCGAGGACGGGGGTATGTTAGAAATGCGTGGGCCGAGTGACGGGACAGTTCGGTCCGTATGTTATTTTGGCTCCAGTGTGTAAAGGGTGTGTTTGTTGTAACCTTCCCTGGTTATACGGCGAAACCAGCACGACACATTACAATACGTTCTATCAAACATCCCCGTAATCATCATCCTAGTGTATGTGCAGCTTTCGGAGGGATGTGGAGGACGAGGAGGACCATTGTTTGAGTTTGAGTCGAGCATGCTACGTGATCGTTTTCATATTCATTGTTTTGCCGATCGGCGCAGGCCCTCGAACCCCCCCTCCCCCCTGGAGTAGATCTTGGCTGTTTTTGGCGCCTGTTTCAAGCAGGTGGGGTCTCTCCATAGGACGCATTGTTGCAAACAGTCGCACTAAGCAGAGGTCCAGAGCCAGACACAACCCGCTCCTTCCGCCCGCTGTCGAAACGCCGAATATGAGACCGTTCACTAAGAGAAGGTGATGATGAGGCCGAGGATGAAGAGCTCCCCTGAGGATGAACGCCGCCAGCGTCAGTTCGCGCTGGCCGCCGCTCGCGACGAGCTTGGCGCGAATCAGAGGGAGCTCCATCGCGATTTGGGGAAGTTCGAGGACCGTCGTCGCCTCTGTCGAAGTCGTTGCCTGCGTCCTCGGCGATGTCGTCGCAGTCGCCGCCTGCCGCCATCGTTACCGCCGTCGCAGTTTCCGTCGGGGTCCTCTTCGCTGTCGTCGCCTGTGCCGCCGTCGAGCAAAAAGAAGGTTGGTCACCGTGATGGTCAGGGGGTCCAGGCACGACCAGGCAAACCTTCCAGATGCTCGGAGCAGTCAAGGCCAGTTTACCGTTTGCCTTCTAGACCGCTCTGGGCTCGAGAGGATACGTCTGGCTTTTCCTGGGCCCCCTGGTCCTTAGGGCGGCCAGCCGTGCACGACCCGAGGAGCAGCTGCAGAAGGCCAGCTGCCAGCGGGAGCAGATAGCCGAGGAGCACGGCCAGCTCCGAGACGTTCTGAACGCGTTCCTGCACGAGCACGTTCAGCTGCAGGCGGAGCAGGCTTACAGAGGGAATGAGCTGGAGCGTGCCCGCTCAGAGCGCGAGCAGACGGCTTGGGAACACTACAAACTGAACCGCGATTTGACCATGCTGGCGAAGAGCTACGACACCGGACTCGTGGCACCCCTGCTGGCCCCCTGAAGCTGAGGGCAGGCCGAGCGTTCCGCCCCGCTCTGCCTCCAGAGTCGGCCTTTTCGTTTGGTTTCACCGTTTCACGGCTGCCTGAGTGTACATTAAATCGTGCTCCCAACGAAGCACGAACCACAGGAGGGTTTAGCATGCGGGGCCGCTGACTGGCGCCATGCACTGCTGTCAGGTCGAGTGCCGCACGCCAGCAGATGCAGCGTTCTGAGAGGATGATGAGGTGGAGGAGGAGGGAGGACTTTCGCACATCCGAGACTTCAGGTCCTGTGCCCTTCTACTGCTTCCCCCACATGCCGCGACCTTGCCCCATCCGAGGCGCTACGCTCTGCAGGAGGGTGGTTGTGCCAGTGGAGCTCTTACTGGTATCCAGAGTATGTCCGTCCGTCGCCGTGAATTTCACCACGTCGCTCGTTTGGTTGCCATCATGTAAACATGGCGGGAGGAATTTCAATTGATGAGGAGGAGAGGGAGGGGAATGATGATGCAAGAGAAGGCGATGGCGACGACGAGGGCGGCGATTCAGTCATAGAGGCCTCTGCGGTTCTTTCTCTCTGGCACCCTGTTGGTAGCGCGGATCCGGTTAGCTCTCCTTGGGCTAGAACACCTCACCCTTTGGAGTCCTCTTGGGGCTCTCTTGGGTGCTCTTGGGGCTGTCTTGGATCCAATGTAGGAGGCATTCGGGCTCTCTTGGGGCCTTAAGCATGTTCGGGGTCCTGGGCAGCCTCTTGAGGCCATCTTGGAAGAGCTCGATCAAATAAGAAGGGGGGGCACTAGTTGGCTAGCCCACCCGTGGACTAAGTCTTGCTCGGCGGGCATTCTACACCACCCAGGGCAGCACTTGACCAACGCAGCTTGACTGAACTCCTCGTTGTGAGGTCGCCGCTATCAGGGCGTTGGCAAATTTCTGTGGACAACGTTGCCACTGATAAGTTCGGTCAGTACATGGAATCTACTCCAGGTGCGATTTTTCAGCGTCTGTCGTGTAACGAATATCTGAAGGGCTTCGCCCTTTGCCGCTGGTCTCCCCCTCTGACTGCTTGCATGGCTGCGCTTGTTCGCTTGGCCGGTTTGTTGGCTTGTCTGTTGGCTGGCTGGCAGTTCGGCCGATTGGCCTGTTGTGTGAATCAATGGTCGACAGTTGTTTTTTCGCTGGTTGCTGGATGGCTGGCTACGCGCATGTGCAAGCGCCTCCACTGTAGTTTCCGAGGGTTCCTGGCTTCGGGAGCACGCCCCCCCCGCAAAGTTTCATGCACTCGTGGCCTCGTGTCCAAGGCTGAATGCTCAGGAAATGACAGGGGGGGGGGCGGGGGGGGGGCGAAAAGCGCCCGCCAGACACAGACGCCCCTGCAGAAAATGTAAGTTGTTCGGCTCTGGGCGCTTTTGGGCAGCCTCCGTGAGATGGGTTTGTGGCCTCGGGAGTGCGAACGCGTTGTTCTTCAGGTAGTGGCCTCGGGATTGCGATCGCACCGTAATGTACGAGGGATTGTTGCCCTGGGAGCGCGAGTGCGATACTGTACGTGAAAATGCTGTAACTTTATCGGTGTGTGTGTGTGTGTGTGTGTGTGCGTCTATGTGCGTGTGGCTTCGGGGATGGGAACGTGACGTATTCTGCAAGGGATTACGGCCTCGGGAGCGCGAGTGTGTCGTCATCTGCAGAAGGTTGCGACCTCGGAAGCAGAACACTGCTTCAGTTTGCATGGGACTGGCTCCGGGAGCACGAGGGTGTTGCGAGTTCCAAGGGATTGTGGCCACGGGAGCGCGACCGCGGCGTCGTCGACGAGGCCTCGTGGCCTCGGGAGCGCGATCGTGACGCATGTTGCCAGGGAGTGTGGCCTCGAGCGCGAGCGCCTCGTAAGTTACGATCTGCTGTGTCCTCGGGAGCGCGACCCTGTCAATCCAGCGAGCAGTTGCCCTGGGAGCGCGAGCCCGTGTTCCTTTCCCAACCATCCTGTGGTGTCGGGCCATCGTTTTGAAGAGACAGCGCCCTTCTCCCATCCGCCTCCTCCCCTTCCTCCCCTTCCTCCCTCCTTCCATCCGCCTCGTCATCGTCATCCTCATCGTCATCGTCATCGTCATCATCATCGCCATCGTCATGATCCACACCATCATAATCATCACCGTCGCCATCGTCAGCGCCGCGCCCCTCACACGGTTCGTGGCACCAGAGGGAGCTCCACCGAAGGCCCCCGCGGGGGCGTCCGAATGGCACCGCTGCCCCATTTTGGCACACCCCTCACACGGTTCGCGGCCCCATAGGGAGCTCCACCGAAGGCCCCAGCGGGGGCGTCCGCACGGCACTGCCGCCCCATTTCGGCACACCCTTCACACGTTTCGTGGCCCCATAGGGGGCTCCACCGAAGACCCCAGCGGGAGCGTCCGCATGGCACTGCCGCCCCATTTCGGCACACCCTTCACACGGTTCGTGGCCCCAGAGGGAGCTCCACCGAAGGCCCCAGCGGGAGCGTCCGCATGGCGCCGCCGCTTCATTTCGGCACACCCCTCGCACGTTTCGTGTCCCCATAGGGAGCTCCACCGGAGGCCCCAGTGGGAAGTTTCTCATGGCACCGTCGCCCCCCGTGTCCGCACACCCCTCACACGTTTCGTGGCCCCATAGAGAGCTCCACGGAAGGCCACAATGGCGACGTTCGCAGGAGTCCTCCCGACTCATGTCGGCATACCCTTCACAGGTTTCGTGGCAGACGGCTATACCGCGTGCGCTACTCGGAGTTTGCGCGCCCCCCTCCTTCGTCTCATCTCCCTCGCGGCACTCGCAGCTGCATATGGTTGGATCCTTCGTCAGGCTATTTTTTTTTGTGCGGGGCTGTGGCTTCTTGAGCGGGGATTCGCAGCAATGTATAATCGTCGTCACCCTAACACACTAATGCTATGCGTGCGCAGCCCCCCAGGGGCGACGCGCGCACCGAGAAATCTTCTAGTATCCGCGTCGAGGAGGGCGCTTTCTGGCCACACCGCTCGGGAAACGATACACTACTACAAGATGGGTATGCTGTTTGTTCGGGTCGGACTCGCGCCTCCAAGGAGAACATATAGTACTGGTATGTCTCTGTGCGTCCCGGGATTGTGGCCAGCGCCCGCCGATCGTACCTTGCCTCGGGAGCCCGAGGTTTCTGTATTTTTGCTATCAGCACCCCCCGAACTTCGGGCAGCGTGACTCTGGGGTGGTAAAGGGGTGCTTTGGTGCCTGGGTTCCTCGCGCGCTCTTCGATCACTACACTTGGAACCATGAGCAACAACCTGTGCCATTGGGAAGGGAACTGAAACTGTTGTAGGGAGCGGGGACGCCTACGCCTTGCAGCCTGTTGGCCCTCAAATGGCCAGCGGATCTTGTGGTCGTTGGCTTCAGACTGACCCCAGAGACACCACCAGGAACACCGCTAGCATGGGGTAGCTCAACACCGTGGTCACACGAGTGAAAGTCTGATCTACCTCGCCACCGAGCATTGTAGGGATGATCCTGACTGGGGGACTCTCTGCAGAGTTGCAACATTCATCCCTCCCACGCGCAAGCCTCGTTTCCCGAGCGTCCACTGCACGAAGCTCGAGAATCCTAGCAGTATTGAACAACCGAGGGGGAAAGCGAACCTCCTGGACGAGCGTGCCCCACCGGTCATCCGTGGCTCAGGCTCAAAGCGCCCTGGGCGTCCAGCCCCCCTGGCCTGGTCTCGCAGCATGCAGGCGCCGACCGCACCTCCAGCTCGCCGTATCGCGCTGCTCGGCCAGCGCGACGCGCTGGTGCGGGCGTTGCTCGAGGTCGCGCACAGGCGGCGGCTGCAGCCACTGGACGTGCTCGTGGTGGTGCCTGTCGGCGCCGGAGCGCCGTCGGCTATTTCCGGCGTGGGGACTATCCGCGGCGTGTGCGACACCCTTGGCTTCGGGTGCGTGGGTGGAGAGACGGACGAGGCCGTGCTTGCAGAGTTGAGCGCTTTCGGCCCAGAGCTGATCGTGTCCATCCCTGGCCGCGCCCAAAGGGGGGCAGGGCGGTGGGGGGCGACCTTGGAGCAGGCGGGGGCCTGTCAGAGCAGTCCTGCCCCTTCCCAGCTGCTCCTTTCAGTCGGCAGCTTGCCACGAGCGGCGCACGTATCCGCATCAGGGGCCCTCTGGACTCTGGGTCGAGGAAAGGGAGCCATGCACATACACCGATTCTGGCCACGCCCACCCTGAGCCCAGGATCGGTGCATACGCCTTCGTGGCTTGGCCAGGGAGGCATACACACCGATCCTGGGCCCTCGGACGGGCCTGGCCAGGATCGGTGTATGTGCATAGGTCTGGTCGTCCGATCTGGGGCACGATCCCGCGGATATGCGATCGCACGGGTACGCTCCGCGCGGGGCATCTGCGACCCGAGGGATCGTGGGCCAGGGGCCCAGCCCGGGAGGCCGCTCAGAAGGTCACGAGGGATGGAGGAGGAGGAGGAGGAGGAGGAGGAGGAGGAGGAGGAGGAGGAGGAGGAGGAGGAGGAGGAGGAGGAGGATGGGAGGAGGAGGAGGAGGAGGAGGAGGAGGAGGAGGAGGAGGAGGAGGAGGAGGCGAGGAGGGAGGAGAGGAGGAGGAGAGGAGGAGGAGGAGCAGGAGCAGGAGGCGGAGGAGGAGGAGGAGGAGGAGGAGGAGGAGGAGGAGGAGGAGGAGGAGAGGAGGAGGAGGAGGAGGCGGGGGAGGATGAGAGGAGGAGGAGGAGGAGGAGGAGGAGGAGGAGGGAGGAGGAGGAGGAGGAGGAGGAGGAGGAGGAGGAGGAGGAGGAGGAGGAGGAGGAGGAGGAGGAGGAGGAGGAGGAGGAGGAGGAGGAGGAGGAGGAGGAGGAGGAGGAGGAGGAGGAGGAGGAGGAGGAGGAGGAGGAGGAGGAGGAGGAGGAGGAGGAGGAGGAGGAGGAGGAGGAGGAGGAGGAGGAGGAGGAGGAGGAGGAGGAGGAGGAGGAGGAGGGAGGAGGAGGAGGGAGGAGGAGGAGGAGGAGGAGGAGGAGGAGGAGGAGGAGGAGGAGGAGAGAGGAGGAGGAGGAGAGGAGGAGGAGGAGGAGGAGGAGGAGGAGGAAGAGGGGGAGGAGGAGGAGGAGGAGGAGGAGGAGGAGGAGAGGAGGAGGAGGAGGAGGAGGAGGAGGAGGAGGAGGGGGAGGATGAGAGGAGGGGGAGGAGGTCGAACAGGAAGAGAAGGAGGAGTGATCATACATCACCTCTCAACCTGGCTCACGTGGCATCATCATGCAGATATCGGCTCAAGAACCACCTACTTACATACCTACTATATACAACATGCCTGGGGCGAACTAGCATCGCATCGAAGACGATGCTCCAGGAGAGCAGCTACTACTAGCTGAGACAGGGATCTGGCTACGCGACCTACCGTGCCAGAGCACATGGATACAGCTCGTTACCAAGGTTACCCAATGATATGATGACAGACACTCCTTCAAGATCAGCGACATCAAAGCTGCACTGCGTCAACACTTCAAGGACCTCTACGACAAACGTAAGGGTACCCAGTGATGACCGCCCCCAGTGACCTCATAATGGACAAGACCCACCACAACCCCTGCGATATGGTTTTTGTGCAACCACAAACTACATCCTTGTGGGGACACCCATACGACACGCCAGTGCGGTTCTATCATTACATGCTGTGGGACCCGGAGAAGGATGATTACGTCACGATGGACATGGACACAGGGGTACATATTATCGGCATGCTCAAGAAGGCGATCGTTGCTAAGCTTTCTTGGCAGCCTTGCGACTCGGCCGCAGGCCAGTACACCCATATGAAAAGTTTATTGCATGAATCACAAAGCGCGCGGTTTGGCAAACCAGCAACAACTACATTACCAGCTTACGTTTGCAGGCGGTCCTACATATTTTCGTGGATCCGACCGACCAGCATGGAAACCTGGTCGCGCAGGAGTATCACAAGTACAGTGCCTACCCCCCAACGGTTTCATACCAACGCACCGTACATACGATTCTGTATGGATGCGCAAACCCCGCGTGGGAACACCCAGGAGGAGGACGTCTAGAACATTATCGCAACATATTATCATTATGCTTCTACGTCGGTGCGCCGTTACTGATACCAGGTACAGCATTTCCGAATGCCGATGCTCTGATTACGTCTGCAGCGCTACAGATGGTGCGCCGTCTACAGCTTTACTTATAAAGTGCGCCGTCTTCGGTAACTGCTATGGCATCACTTGAGTGGCCCCGCCGATCTCCCCCCTCTTTCCTCGGACGCCTGAGGAGGATCATGCGTGTGTGGGTGGCCCTTCTCCCCTCCTCCCCCCCGATCGGAACGGGTATGTCCCGCGCCGGGGCCCTGTGGAGCGCGCTCGCGGGTGCCGGCTGGGCGTGTCGCGTCGACTGGTCGGAACCGCGTGTGGCGGCGGCGGAAAGAGGAAGATGAGGAGGGGGAGGGGGAGGAGGAAGAGGAGGAAGAGGAGGAGAGGAGGAGCAGGAAGAGGAGGATGAGGACCAGTGTCCACCCAAGATTCATCAATGATGTTGCAATAAGCCCTCCCACGAAGCTCCCTTTTTACAGGCCTGGCTTTAGTTTCACTGAGGGAACTGTTCCGTTGAAAGATAACTGGTTGAAAATCTGGAACTGTGCCCGAACGCCATTCCTGGTACTTCAACGACGCGAATTACCGCTATTGTTGCGACTGGACGATCCTGAATCGTGCCAGAACACCATTCCTATGACTTCAAGTCCCGCCCGCCCTCCATCGATCGGTAGTTGCAAATTTCACCTGAATGATCACTAGTGGTGAAGAGTTTTTGGGCGAAACATCCGACTGGCCTCGGAGTGCGACAAGGAACGGTTATCCACATGGAAAAGAAATGGAGGAGGAGGAGGAGGAACAACACAACAATAAGACACATACTAATCTAATCCAATAGACGAATCACATTAATCATAGTAAGCCGAATCAGCGGAGGAAGCGCAACAATAAAACACCTAAAATTGTTATTATTACGAACACATACTCATAATCATAATAATAGTACGAAAGTTACTACGACTAATAACAATAACGCGATCATAATCAGACGACGGATCTTTAAATTAATGAAAAACATAGTAATGAAGAGTACTAAGGCTCATATGGATAATATTAGTGCTAATGCAATAAGGATAATGCAGTTGATAGGAACGAACTATTCATATGAATAATGAAAAAAGCTAGTAGTTCGAATAAGGGGAGTTACAAACATTATAATGCGAATACTCTCGTACAAGAACAATGATTTCAGTCGTACTAATAATGATAATTCGCACAATAACATCATTCATAAACACAATGATCATACGACGAATAATGATACAATGCGTAAACTAGACATAATAAGAGTAATACTGTCAACACGACCAATACTAATACGAACGTGCGGACAAAATTCCTAAGGCTACTTTTTACGAATGATATGAATAGTACGCCGGTTAATACGACGATGGGGACGTCTCAGGCGATCAATATTAAAAGTAGTAATCATATCAAGAGAAGAAGCGCACACACATAAGAAGGGTACGCATACGAATAATACTATTAATACTAATAATAATAACAGTAATACACCCTAGCAATACGAATGTTGAGTTAGTAGTAAGCATACTTCTATTCATAATACTACTACTAGCATTAGTAACATTAGGAATACTAGCAGTAATGATACTCATGCTATTATTAATATTAATAATAAGTTTTGTAATGGTATTAAAAGTACTACTTCTACTACGACTACTATTATTCATAATGCTCGTACTATAAAGACTAGTCGTACTTATAGTGCGAATAATATTACTAGTAATACCCATACTACTGTTAGTAATATCGGTAGTAATAATATTGCTAATACTAATACTACTAATACTAGTACCACTACTAATACTGGTACTACTAGTACCATTAATTCTAGTACAACTAATACTAATGATATTAATAATACTAGCGCTATTAATAATCATAGAACTACGACCAATAAAAATACGAATCATACTAATAATACTAATAATAACAATACTAATGCCAGTAATAATGATAACAACAATGACAATACTACTAATATGAGGAGGATGGGGAGGAGGAGGAGGCGGAGGACGAGGAGGAGGAGGCGGCGGAGGAGGAACAGGAGGAGGAGGAGGAACAGGATGAGGAGGAGGAGGGGAAGGGGAGGGAGGAGGAGGAGGAGGGAGAGGGGAGGAGGAGGGAAGGAAGAGGAGGAGGAGGAGGAAGAGGAGGGAGGAGGAGGAGGAGAGAGGAGGAGGAGGAGGAGGAGGAGGGAAGGGGAGGAAGGAGGAGAGGATGAGAGGAGGAATAATAAGAAGAAGAAGAAGCGGAGGAGGAGGAGGAGGAGGAGGAGGAGAGGAGGATGAGGAGGAGGAGGAGGAGAGGAAGAGGAGGGGGATCAGGAAGATGAGGAGGAGGAGGAGGAGAGGAGGAGCAGGAGATGGAGAGGAGGAAGAGGAGGAGGCGGAGTAGGAGAATCAGGAGGAGACGGAGGAGGAGGAAGAGAAGGAGGGGGATGGGGAGGAGGAGGGAGGAGACGGAGGGAGGAGGAGAAGAGGATGAGAGGAATAAGAGGCGGAGGAGGAAGGATGAGAGGAGGAGAGGAGGAGGAGGAGGAGGAGGAGGAGGAGGATGCGGCGGAGGAGGAAGAGGAGGAGGATGAGGAGGAGGAGGAAGAGGGGGATGGGGAGGAGGAGGGAGACGGAGGAGGATGAGGAGGAGGGAGGCAGAGGCGGAGGAGGCGGAGGAGGAGGAGGAGGGAGGACGAGGAGGAGGAGGAGGAGGGAGCGGAGGAGGAGGAGGAGGAGGAGGAGGAGATGACAAGATGAGGAGGCGGATCAGGAGATGGAGGGGGAGGAGGAGGAGGGAGGAGGAGGGTAGAGGAGGAGGAGGAGGAGGGAGGAGGCGGAGGAGTATGAGAATCAGAGGAGGAGGAGGAGGTGGAGACGGAATGGGGGATGGGGAGGAGGAGGG